GGCGTGGCCTCGTATTCAGGCTTCTTAATGTTTTCTCTTGATCGGAATTGGCGATTGTTTCTCAGTTATCTGACCACTAGACTGTCATCTCTTTCTTTCTTTTACGATGTGAAATCTGTATTCATCAATGATGCCTGCTGTTCTGATCTTCAGTGTGTGGCTGATTTAGAAATGTGTCCAGGGACGTGATGTGTTTCTGCAAGGGCGTGGTTCTTGATGTCTATCGAAATGCTTTAAGATCCTTTGCGCTACGCTTAAGACTAATAGAAGACGTTATTTTACGTTCCTCGTGTGTCAGCGGTCTTGGAGTTGAGTCGTGTCGTGTTGTAAGATCTATTTTCGTCGCCACAGAGGCGACATATTGTCTCAGGACCTAAAGATGCTGCCTCCACTCCTCGTGACCGCTGTGTTCTGTAAACGACCCGAACTAGAACATCCACAGATTCGTCCAGACTGGAAAGAGGTCAAAGAAAATTTACCGTGGTAGATTTTTTTGTGGGCGTGTTCTCTTACAATTATTAAGAAGTTATTTTAACTAGACTCGAGCTTCAAACACTTTATTCTAGACGACTTCATTTTGATGTCTTTATTTTCCTTCTTGTATGGAATGGAAATCAACATTGAAAAATCAAAGGTAATGAGGATAGCACCGAGAGCAGAACCACTGAACATTGTAATTGGAAACCAACAGCTGGAGAATGTGGAGCATTTCAAGTACTTGGGAAGCATAGTCACGACGGACGCCCTATGCACCAAGGAAGTAAAAGCAAGGATAGCCATGGCCAAGGCAGCTTTCGTCAAGAAGAGGATACTTCTCACTAGCAAGTTGGGCTTGGAGATGAAGAAGAAACTAGTGAAGTGTTACGTATGGAGCAGAGACTTGGACACTCAAGAAGAAGGAACAGAAATACCTGGAGAGTTTCGAAATGTGGTGTTGGAGAAGAATAGAGAAGATCAGGTGGACGGATCGAGTGACCAACGAAGAAGTATTGAGGAGAGTCAACGAGCAAAGATTACACGAAGGAAAGCAAAAAAAACAGGAATTAAAACGAGAAGCTGAGAATGGGGACAACTGGAGAGCTCTTTTTGGGCAGAGCAACGGACCTGTCGTAAGACAGAACACTTAATAATAATAATTTTCCTTCTTAATATTCAGAGGCGATCAGAAGGGAAGTGCAAAACAAACATTTTCGTTGTATGATTGACAACACTGCTGAGCCCCGCCCATGTTTTAGCTCAAGGTTTAGCGGCGAAGTTCGGCGAATGTGGTCAAATTACAACCTGTTCGTGCGGAGCGACTTTGGCTCACCAGAGGTTTGCATCCAAGGCAAGCAACGTTCAGTAATAAGCTTTTCGAGGTTTCAAGGAATGAAAATGGCTGCAAAATATGGACAGAACTGTTTGCCTCAGTGAAGTGCATGTGAATGGATCGAAATGTTTAAAAGCAGTCGGACCGGTGTGGACGCCCATCCACAAGCGTGACGAAGCGACGATTCTGGGAAACTTCGGGCTGCTCGTCGCTGGTACAAACCTCTGAAGGTCAGGATGAACAAAACAACGTTACTCTGATTGAAGAACGCGCCTATAAAGAACGTGGTCGGAAAAATACTTTGACCGACGAAGGACGAAGGTCACCTAGGGGCTGGGTCTAAGGCTACGATGTGGGAAAAGCTCTTGCTGAGTTCCCGGTTCAGAAAGCCAAGACGCGTATGGGAGGATGAACTTTGGACATGTCTTTTGAAGGTGGGAATTGAATTGAACTGGCTGAAGAACGCGATCATGTCGGGTTTTGAACTCAAGAGAAATTGTAGAACGCATTATGTGCCCGGAGACCGGGCTTCGTGGTTTCTTCTCAGGCACTCGAGGCAAATGCCAGGATTTTACCTTTGCAGTTCATCTTGCCATTCGGTGATGTGGCCTGCAACCATAAGTAAGTGAAGAGATTCGTGCGATCTTTGCGGGAGGGAACATTGTGCGTCCTTTCATTCGTCATCTTACTACGATTTTTTGACTGCGTAAGTTATGGACGTAACGCGAAATGCACCATTTCACTTGCGTCATTTAGGCCTATCTGATGTTTGTCTGAACCAGGAAATTAATTTCATTAAATTATTGCACGAAATGAATGTGTATGTCTGTCTGCCCGCGTGATTCAGATTTCGTTAAAATTTGGTGTGGGCGTTATGCTAGCAGACGCACGAATTTGTGAGTTGGGAGAAAACGCTCGCGTTACTTAATAGCTTGTAGGGTCATACAATGCAGTATGGTAATGGATCTTGAAAACAATGCACTAATTTAACATTTAAATTCGGCCCAGTTTCCTTTGTGTTTGGTAAGGGTCATTGACTGAATGACTATCATGCTTTTACATCGCCTGCAGTTACTGCCCCGCTGATGGTAAGTCGTCGTTTGTGGCACGTGGACGCCTCTGCGTCGGCTGGGAGCGTCCAGGACGCAGAGGTGCGAAGACTGCAGTGCAGATTCCAGAATTCCAGGCTTGTCAGTTCTTAGTTTTTCAATGCCGATAGGCGATGATGTGTGGAGATGTTCAGGTTGGCCTTGTCGGTGATTAGAATCGTGGCTGCTAAGTGTGTAGTAAACGTGTTTACGGATCTAGGATGAATAGAATACAGTCAAACCTCGGTTTACGAACTTAATTCGTTCCTGAAGGTCGTTCGTAAACCAAAACCATTTTCCCCATAGGAATTAATGTAAAATGGATTAATCCGTTCCTGGACCCCAGATGATTGTTTATTTAAAATTTTACAACAGTACTTTGTGCACAAGTTCTTAACACAAAATCAATGGAAGCCGTTAAATCTATCACAAAAAGATAAACGCAACACTAAGCAGATCAAATATAGACGAAATCTTAATTCAGTTTTACCGTACCTGTATGGAGGAGAGTTGACGGCGTAAGTGGACGGGGATTCTTTTCCTTTTTTCTGTCTCTTGGCACCACTCGACTCTGCATCAGACTCACTGGGCCTCTGTCTCACTAAAAAGTTGTCCAGCGTGATTTGGTTTTGTCTACGTTTTAAAATGTTTCTAAAGTGACACGTGGCATCATCATTGAAAATGTTTGTGCTGCGGCTTGCTTCTGCTTTATCGGGGTGATATCGTTCCACGAAACTTTGCACCTCACCCCATTTTGCACAAATTTCACGGATCAAAGAAGTAGGAACATCCTCCCTTCCTTCCTCTTCCTCTGAAGACATTTCCTTAGCAATCGCCTTTTGTAGCTGCTTCTGTAGTTGTTCCAGTTCTTCCGTGCTGAGTTCATCTTTGTGGTCCTCCAGTAACTCCTCCACATCTTCATTGTTAACTTCCAAGCCCATGTTTTTGCCTAGAGACACAATATCATCAATAACAGCAGAATCTTCAATGTCAAAGCCCTCAAAGTCTCTGCCTGCAACACATTCGGGCCACAATTTCCTCCAGGCTGTATTCATGGTCCTGTAAGTCACTTGCTGCCAGGCTTTGACAACGAGAGTTAAGCAATGAAGAATATTAAAATGGTGTTTCCAAAAGTCTCTTGAGTGTTAATTCTTCTTCTGCGAATACTGCCGACGCTGATACTCCCAGCTTATCACTCCACGATGTTGACGGCTTGTGTGTTCCCTTTTTCTTTGAGAAGCTAGGTCTAGCCTTTACCGGACTCCATCCACATAACACAAATGAAGAATGCAAGTTTCTTCAGTTCGAACCCCACCACTTGAAACAAAATTCATTGAAGGCATCTAATAGGAAGAAGCAGGGCCATGTGATTCCTCCGGGCAGCCTGGAACAGAAACGTGCCGGTGACCGGAAGTTAGTTCAGGGATGAACTTACGACAGACTTCCTCCCTTCAACTAGCAGACACGAGGCGCTGACCAGCAAAGTTGAAAAATCTGCAGTGATGAAAAAAATGTGGGTTAGCCCCAGGTGTTCCTCCAGAAAATGTAAAGATGTGTTATCACACGAAATGCCAATAGGTGGCGGGTGGCCTCTAGTGCCGTTGCCGTGGTCCCATCGACTTCTGTCAACTGATCCGACGTCCGAGAGTACGAACTGTCGTAAAATTACCTCCATCGAATTTGCTCGCTTTGGTTAAAAGGCGAAAAGTAAAATATTGCAACGGGTGATAACGTTTCCTGTTCGCGTTGTTTATCTGGGAGGATCGTTCGTCTCACAAACTGGACCCGCAACAGGTGCCTGTGGCTGATTCTTCAATAGACCGATTCACGATCTTACAAAGTGAGCCTAGCCATTCTTTCGTCTCCTCCAGAGTTTGACCTTTGAATGTTGCTAACGGCGCTAGTGATGTCTGAGGTTTTGGGTGGCTGGGGAATCTCCGGTTAGGCATACTAAGCACAGTACGTTCGTTGGCGCGGGGATTCCCCACCCAGTCACTTCCACCCGAATAAACACGTGTAGGTCTTAATGCAGTTTCTCTGTCCATTCTCAGTTTTAGTATAAAATTTTACTAATATCCGTTCATCAGTTCTCGAGTTATCACGTGCGTGCAGACTGAGCGGCTGACAAACAGAGCAAATTGATTGGGGCTGCCTTTGCAGGTTTTGGTCGCTAACTGGTCTAAAAACGAGAGCACTACACAAAAGAAACGGAATGATCCAGAGGAAAGAAAGAAAGAATGGGAGGAAGATATGAAGATCTCTGTATTCTGTGATGTTGCGTCGCCTTGATGATGGATGCAGAAAGCACCTCCGAAACGTCGGTTAACTAAGTATCCCAAAAGACAGGGAAAGGAAATTAAGGACAAGTAAGGAAGAAGCGGTATTGCAGAGTGAGGTTACCACAGCGTGGGCGCGTGGCGTGGGATACTGATCACACGAGGCGAGAAAGTGTCTGCTAGAACGAAATGCCCAGTCTGGTCATGCCCCGCACTAACCACGGCTTGCTGAATGACTGGGCTGCTTAGTAAGAGCCAATTTAAATCGAGTGGCAGCGAGGGGAGAGGTCAGAAACATCGGCCGACGCCGCTGGGTCGGTGCCAAAGACAGAGACTCAAGCACGTGACTCGTCCGGAGAGCGAGCGTTGCTTTGTCGCAGTTAACTCGCCTTGCGTTGAGACGGTGCACTTCCTGGCCCTCCTGAGAGAGTTCCGACAGTGGGCATGATGGCCAGCCACGTGGAAGACGTGCTCACCTCCATTTCAGGCGACGGGCGTCGAACGCTAAGCCATTTACCGAGTCGGCCGCCAGTTGACGTCGAATTCGCGGACATTTCGTACACGGTGCCTCAAGGCAAGAGAGGTAAGTACCACGGCGATCAGTACGAGTAAAGGGAAAACGCGTTGGGTGGAGGTGAGTGCATCAGCTTATGATTCAGTTCTCGTTGAGTTCTGCGTACCCTTGAAACTACTTGGGCTGATGAAATGTATTTAAACGAATCCTATAGTTAAGTCTGTGCATGTTTCTCATCCGAAAAACTTCGCGTGGAAAGGGTTCAATGCTGGGTCGAAACTATTGCGACTTGCTTGTGTGAACACTCGAACGGAAGTGACGGATAAGCTGTAGAACATCTGCTTGTAGGCGTGACGGGTCCTTCGCAGCGAGCGGCAGCATTTATCATTCGTTCGATCTCGCAACTACACGATCAGTCTATTTTATATCAAACACTGGTTGTGACTGACAGCACAGCGTTGTGAGTTTGCCAGCAATTGTGGTTGTGAGTGAACAGACGTACAGAAGCTGAGAAATCACGGTATTGCGGGTTGCTACAGCGGATAATTTTCGGGCGCAAACGTGTGGAATTATACAGCAGGCCACGCACGAGCGAGCAGTCTTTTGTTTACGTTGCGTGAGTGATGGTAATGTTTGGATGTGGATGTGTGAAGCGCAGATTTAATTTATGTTGTGACGTGAACAATCTGATTAAGACTTGAGGTTCTCACAGCGGTGAATATGAAGATTTCTGTCTTAAGGTTTGAAAGGTCATCTTTTCAAAACAGGCGCCGTGGAATATGTCCACATGGACCATTTCAGTAACGTGGCGTTCTAGACCTTCATCGTGAACCTAACCTAACCTAACCTAACCTAAGCGCACGATTAGTGCTCGGGAAGACTGGGACAAATTTGAGCATACTTAAGGCCATGTTAAAAAATCATACTTTTAGTTCACATAAAAATACGATTACTTACCAGTACAAATGCGATATACTACATCGACTTAAGATTTGGTTCGTGTACAGTTAGAAACAGGCAGCTTGTCACCGCGTTCATAATACGCCGAGCTTTGAGGAACTGATTGGCGTCGCTTACAAAATCACCTATGTATATAATTTATAGCAAATTATTTACTCGAGAGAATAAAACAACAAAACATTTGATCGTCTTTTTTGTTGATGTTTCACAGTATTTCTGCACCACAAATATTGTTCTCCCCCTTTAATCCTTTAAACCACAAATGATCTACTAAACATCATTGATCATGGTAACAGCGACTGAATTCAAGTTCTTTTTGCAGTCATCAAAGATAACGCAGCTCATAATCGCCTTCACTCCGGGTCAATTGCAATTGAGGTGACGCCGCGAGACTTGTTTCTGGTAGAAATTCGCCAACGCTTCACAGGTTTTTGCTTATGATGGAGGCAGCAAGGAGCTATGAAGCGTCGGTAAACTTCTACCAGAGTAGACAGAGGGCCATGAGAGCAATGTCAAACATATTTGGGAAAACTCTCTCCAGTTATGCTTCCTGTTTATCTTAATCGTGCTTAACAGCAAAATAATAATTTCCACTGTCGTATTTGTTGGTATTGGCGTACGTAGGCCGAGTGCCACGCAGTTTCCACGTTCGTGGCTTTAGTTCTCGAAATATCACTGAAACGAACAAGGTTGTGCCTCGATGCCATACTTCGTTTTTGGAGTACAGAAAACATCCTCCTCAGGATTCGAGCCCAGGGCAATCTTTCCGGTGTTGTGACCTCTGTTTCTGCCCTTGGCTTCTGATCTACAGAAAGCGCCCTCGCCGGGAAACGAGCTGAGGGCATTGATCATGTTCACCGCCTTGTTTCAGGCCACTTTTAATGAACAGGAAACATGTTTCGCCAAATGTTTACCATAGCTTTCCATTAAACACTTTTTCATGGATATACCAGACTCAATGAGAAGAGTGTAAAATGCTTCCCTCCTAACAGAATCATAGTCTAGTCTGTGAATAACTGACGTACTGTCTCATCGTACTCTCATTATTCTCTGGTAACTGGCGAATACAAAAAATCTTGTTTCGTCAAAACCCACGTTGATGATCCCAAGAATTTCGTCTACGTATGGACTCAAACTTGAGAGAAGGACGTTGGATAAAATGTTGTAAGAAGTTGATAGCTGGTCAGTTTTATCTCGTAAACTGCTAGAAAAACAGACTCCTTCCTCGCGCTGAGGCAATTCTTCCTAATTCACTTGCATAATCACTTTTATCCTCCGTTGTGTGACATGCGCATTAACAACAGCGAGATTGCACCAACGGCCTCTTGGTATTGTACACGATATCCCGTCATCGGCAAAGTCTAAACTCTTAACTGCTGATATGATTATCTTATGTACACAGAATCCTGTTCCCAATTCATGATACACATTCCCCTTACCGCAGAAAAAATGTATAATCGCCTGATCTCCTGTACTCCGCCTAAATCTAACTTAATCACACCTTGCTAATTCTGTTGCGACTGTTCCCAGTGAACCCGTCCTTTAATACCAACCATGTTCCTCTACAATCTGCTACTTTTACGTCCAGGACTTGTTAGCATTTTACAGTCAAATTTTAGGACGTTTACGGAAGCCCCACGTTCCCACGCATCATTTCAGTACTATTTGTTCTCGTTTTCAACCACTTGGGCGCACATAAGCAATGTGACGACGGTAAGTTTCCGAAAGAACTCCAAAAAAAAAAAAAATTGCTCCGAGGCTCGACAGAGAGACGTTTCAGTGCGACTGCTTTGAAGGTGATCTGCGCGAAGAAAATTGGTCCTCACAGTTTTTCGTGTGACGCCGTTGTCACTCGCGTCTTTCGTTAACTTCCAATTAGAATCACTCGCGCAACGCCCCTCGAATCGCAAGCACACGACTTCGATTTCTCTTCCAGAAGCATCTCGGAAGCTTTCCACTCGTGCGTGGTCGCTTTCGCCACTCATCAGGAAGTGACGAGTGGGAACATTTTCTTCGCTCGTCTACAGTGCAGAGGGCAGTGACTCACAGGAACTTGTGACTTCATTTGAGTTCATAAACTTCATTGCCAATGGAGTGACTGCATGACTGTCACATTTTCTAATTGTGTGCAGTCTTTTGTTCTCAAATTGATTCAGCCAGAAATGCTGGTTCCCCCTTGTGGTTTCAAAGCAACGTGTCCTGTGTCATTATTTCCTTTCGATCTCTGTTCACTTTGAAATTTAAATTCGACCTTGAGTTCATTCGTCACGCCTCACGAATTCCATTTCGGAGTTTGCGGTTGTCCTTCACGTAAGTCTCCTGTAATCGAATTCCGTTTCTGTGCGATGTCTTACTATTTCCTGCATTTGTAATTGGGTTTGTCTTACTGAAAATCATTATTTTATATTCAGGGTAAACTTGTCAGGTGTTCTAACTTCGTCGCAGATCCATCGCGACATACGACATTTCTCACCCGTACCTCCCTTGGCCATGGTCGCCGTTTTGTTTTACGATTTTAAGATCTCACCTCGTTTCGAATTCCAGTATTAAATGACGCTGAGATTCCTCCCCCTGGGGCATGTAGCACGAATGGGACATGACAAACCTTTGATGATGATGATGATGGTGGTGGTGAGCATTCCAACTGGGCGCGGCTGACACCATATCTACCCCCAAGCTCTGTCTTGCCCTCTGACAATGTCTGTTGGTACATTTACATCTTTTCCTTCTCACCCCTTTGCAAGGGTTGGTGGGGTTATCGGGGGCCAAATACGCGTGTGTTTGGCGCCCAATTATCTAGACGTGTGGTCCGTGTTCCTTTGATCCTCTGGATGCCACAGCGTTGATTTTCGCTTACGGAGTTGGTTGGAAAAATTGCGAGACGAAGTGTTCCACGCATGCAACAAATTTGTTTATATTTCTAAAGGGAATGGGCTGTGTTTGTCACCGAACCAAGGGCCTTGAGCCAATGCGAAATGTTGTTACATATTCCTTGGTTACAACGTCATTAACCAATCAGGAGTAAGAGATTTGCTGGGACTGTGTCCTGATCGTGAGTTGTGAGGTTAGCAGGAACATTCAGACCGCTTGTGCTTCGACTTTTTCGATGATCGCAGAACCAACGCGGCTCCATTTCGTCCTTTTTGATAAGAAATTATCAACAAATTCTAACCCGAAGAAATTGTGTCGTGGTGTCTAAGACTCACGCGCAAGCCGCAGTGTAATCGTAAGAATCCAACGTCGATTCTGTAATCGTTCTCGAGGCACATAACATCGATACAGAATTGCTTATTAGCGACGAAGGTCGACCCTGGCTTAAAATTTATGGCGCCCAAACCATTCTTTATCTCACGTAATCGTGACGCAATCGATTGAGAGCTGAGTGCACACCGCACAGCGTAGTGTAGCGGCTAGACGTTGAAACGAACAAAAATTAAACTCGCCCTGGAATTTGAATTTCTTCGTCTCGTTCATCGCCGGTTGTCGACTAGCGCGCCGATTTCTTTTTCTTTTTTGGGTGGTGAATACGAGAGTAATCAGAAATATATGAAATAATGAGCGGTGAAATATGGAAACAGAAGGTAAGAAAGAATGAATGCGTGTCTGCGGTCGAGGCTTTGTGATATGCCGTCAGTACTTGGTATCGTTTGTACGAGGGCGAGAAACTTTTAACATTTCTTCACATCTTGTATGACGCAGATAGGTTCGGTGCGTGTCATCTTCAATAGTGCGTCGATTGCTCCTGCAGCCACCGACGCTCTGCGTCGGAGCGGGAAGTCTCTCCACCAATCGCCTCCTTTGGTGGCCAGGAGGGTGAGGGAGGCACTTGAAAAGAATGACCTTGACGTTGCAGCAAGGCGATAGTGTTGAATACAGAAGTCACAGTGATTCTACCTCCGTGCCTAATTCCAGTGATTCATTAGTTTCGTGTTAGTGGAAACAGGTAGAGAGTATGGAATGGAAATCAACATTGAAAAATCAAAGGTAATGAGGATAGCACCGAGAGCAGAACCATTGAACGTTGTAGTTGGAAACCAACAGCTGGAGAATGTGGAGCATTTCAAGTACTTGGGAAGCATAGTCACGACGGACGCCCTATGCACCAAGGA